CGCCCACTCCGTCTTGCATGCCCTAATCCATTCCTTGCGGTGTTGTGACCCTCAGGGTAAAGACCGAAGTCCTTTACACAGCTCACTAAGCTCTGGGCCAGGTGGTGCCTACTTCCCTCCCTAAGCATTGCTCCCTACCCCCCACCTTGCTGCACTCCAGCTATTTAAAAAATGTGCTTAGAGTTCCAGATGCCCATTCTGTTCTGTTGCCTCTAGGCCTCTTCGTGTGCTTCCCTTTGGCATGCCTGTTCCCCAGTGTGTTTCCCGTGTCTAAGTTCCGTCATCTTCAGCTCATAGTTTAAACATCACCTCCTCAGGAAGCCCTCCCTGACTGCCCCGCACACGGGGCTGGGGCCCCCCTGAATGCCCCCATAGTGACCCTAGTTCAGTGACCCTGTTTGACAATCTAGTCTCCCAGGCTTGTGCTCTTGGAAGTCTGAGACTCTGCCTTATATGCCCAGAGCCTAGCACAGTGCCTGGCTAGATGCTTAAACAGTATTACATGAAAGAATGTGAAATAAATGCTCAGGGGTGAATGCTCTGCTTCCCCCAGAGCATCCGCATTTTAGCCAACGTCCTAAGAAACCTGACGTCTTCCCCTAGAACAATGCATCAATGCCAGCAATGGGGAAGGCTGAGAAATCATCTAGTCCAGTTGTCCCAAACTCCTATGCATCAGAACCACCTAGGGTTTTTTTTTTTTTAAGATTTTATTTATTTATTTATTTGACAGAGAGAGAAAGCACAAGTAGACAGAGAGGCAGGCAGAGGGAGAGGGAGAAGCAGGCTCTCCACTGAGCAGGGAGCCCGATGCGGGGCCCGATCCCAGGACTCCGGGATCACGACCCGAGCCGAAGGCAGCCGCTCAACCGACTGAGCCACCCAGGCGCCCCGACCACCTAGGGGGTTTTAAAAAAATACAGTTTCCCTGGCCCTGGCCCCACAAAGTAGCCAGGAAGCTGTATCAGTAAAACTCTTCAGAAGACCCTCAGGCAGACATCTGACTAATATTTGGGAGCCATTGCTTTAGTCCAGCTTTCTCTTTTTACAAGAAGGAAGACGGAGACCAGGAGAGGGTAGGTGATATGCCCAAGGTTGTATAGCTTGTAAGTAGCCGAGCCTGGAATGGACTATCTTCTGATCTCAACTCCAGCTCCAAAAGTTCCAGTCACTGTAGCAGGCCAAGGGGGACAGGTAGGGGGACCTTCAAGAGAGAACTCCAGGCCATCTTGGCAGCCTCTGCTGTCTGTCCGGGTGTTGAGCTCTGCCTTCTACCATGCAATCTAATGTAGATAGATATTAGCTATTATATATTAAAATATATTATATACCTATATTAGAATATATACTGTATATTAGAAATATATATATATATATATTTCAGCACTTGTATCTTTCTGCTTCTCTTTAGAAAAGAAGCGGGCAAAGGTAGCTGAACAGCCTACACCCCCCATTCAGGAAGAACCTGAGCCTGTTAGCAATATCCTACAAGGGGATGACATTCTTGCCTTAGCCATTAAGAAGGAAGACCTGAAGAAGGTAAGGATAAGGTCCAGGGATCCCTTACTGCAGGATGAGCATTTCCGGGTCAGTCTGTGTGGTCTAGAACATCAGCCATGTCCACTGTCTCTTCACCACCTCCCTACTCAGAGGGAGGGTCTAATTCCACGGAAGAATTGGACATGGATTCTTTGCACTTCTGCATCTAAAGGAATTTACTATGTTGTTTGTTTTAACGTTGCTGAGAGTCCTATAGAACCACAGGGAAATGAGATGTTGAGGTGTCTTGCTTCTCATGGAGGCAAGTGCCCGTCATCCCCATTTCGCAGAAGGGAAAATGAGCCCGAGAAGCACGTTACAGATGTGGATACAGCTGCTAAACCCTAACCCCATGCTTTACCTGGAAGAGTCAGCCACTTCTCCCCTGCACTGTCTGGAGGATCTAAGTGTTACTTTTTTCCGCCCGGATGTTGCTGAGCCTTATGTCTGTGGCATATAGGCATTTCCTCGACAGAGCATATGGACAGAGCTGGAGCAACATATTTTTCAGCCTTCAGGAGTTCCACCAAGAATTGGGACAGAGGGGATGGGTGGCGTTTTTTCCTCCTCCTGATCTCAAGTGCAATTCTCCTCTGTTTTGTTTTGTTTTAGCAACACATTCCTCGCTTTATTGAGACACAAGATAGACCTGCCATCACCCAGAAATTTATCATCCGTAAACTCAGACCCAAGGATCCAAAGAGGAAGGTCTGCCGCTTAGTAGCACATCCTGCTACTCCAGATGCAGCCACGAAGCCCCTGGACTACTCTGGTATGGCCCCGCCTTGGCCCAGGCCTCTGAGTTCATGGGCCGGCCTTGAGAGGGAGCTGGGTCACCCTCAGAAAGTAACCCCCTCGAAACGTTGACATGAGCTAGTCCTTCCCCTCTGCTCCCCCGCACCCAGGCCCAGGTGGCAGCTTCCATGACCGTGACCAGATCCTGCCTCACCACATCTTGGGGAGTCTCCAGGACTTTAAGAGAATTGCAGTTGCTCAAGGGAACACCCAGGTTGGTTTGTACAGAGTTGCTGGGGCGGGGAGGGGAGTTGGGGAGGAGAAGTCACTGAAGCCATTCGGGTCTTAGCCACCTGGCGGAGTCAAGCAGGACTGGGGGACTGAGGTTACAGAGACAGTGCCAGTCTCTGGGCCCTGGAATCTGAAGTGCTCGTGACCCTCCCCCGAAAGAGTAAAGCCACTTAAACTAGCTTCAGCTGAAGTCAGCAATTCACTATAAGGATACAGAGGCACCTCAAGGAACCCCAAAGCCAGAGGGTGTCCGACTCCAGACTGGACCCAGAGAAGCCGCAGGGCTCGGGGCTCCCGCTCCCCCACTGCCCTCCACTCCTCTGTGCACCAGCTTCATTATGCCTTCTCCAGTGCCTGGCCTGCTCTCCTCTTTGGTGCACACGGGGAAGGACGGTGGCTTCCCGCAGCTCCCGGGGCCGCGTGTCTGTCTGTCTGTCTGTCTGACTTTCCCGGTGTGCAGTGCTTTGCTCGCTCTCCGCTCCTTTGCTTCCCTGGCTCCAGGCAGAACATCTCTGACGGGTCTGGTGCTAAGAGGCCTGGGGTCATATAAAAATGACTCTGTCGCCCTGCAGGTGAAGGTGTCAATTAGCATCAGTTGTGAGGGGGACAGAGAGACTGAGAATGGCTGACCACCGTCTCAGAACAAAGATTCCCATCTGAAAGAGAGGGCCCTGACGGGGGCTTCCAAGGCCCCCCGGTTCCGTCACTTGCTAAGTTAGGGTCCGGAAGAGGAGGGACTCTGAGCAGAGGGGGAGGACAGCAGGGGGTGAGGCCTGGGGAAGTCTCTGCTCAGCCCTGGCTCCGCGTCTGCTCACTGTCCTCCGCATGCTCTCCCTGTACGTTTCAGCTGGCTGAGCTGATACGCACCCCGCCGGGTCTGGTGACCCTCATCTCTGCTAAAGAAGAGCCGAAGCAGAAAGCCCCAGAAGAAGAGAAGGCACATCCCTGGGCCCCACCGCCTCAGCACAACTTTCTCCAAAACTGGCAGCGCCACATCGCCTTGTGGAAGAAGCAGCAGGAAGCCCTCAGTGGTGAGCAAAGGGGACAGGGTTCCCGCTGGGCCTTGGCCACCACCGAGGCTCCACTGCTGTTTTTTTCTGTCCCTCCACCTCGCCGAACACTGTGCCATCCACTCCCAAGTGCTTCTTGCTCTTCGTGGGTCCTGAAATCAGCCCAGCCATGGGGCTGACCAGTGCGAAGTGCTAGGGCCCCTGTTCTGACTTGAGGGAGGGCCCGTGTTCTTGGTTCTCGCACCCTCTAGAACGCCTGAAGAAGCCAGTGAGCGAGCTGCTGATGCACACTGGGGAGACCTACAGACACATCCAGGAGGAGCGGGAGCTCATTGACCGAACACTTTCAGCACAGCATGATGGGAAGGTAAGGACGGAGTTCCCAAGTGCTCTGTGAGGAGCGGGTCTGGGCCCAGGGATGGCTGCCTCAGGTTGCACAGTTGGGAACAAAAGAATCTGCTCATTGCAAGGCATTGTTAAGCCCTCAAGGCCTTCACGAAATCCTATCATTGGTCCTTACTGGGCATTCCGGCCGCCTGGCTAGCTAGGTTACGCAACCCGCGGTGGTCAGTGGTAGTCCGTTTCAGGGGAAAGATATCACCGGTACTGGGTTATTAGAATAGTCTCAGTGTTCTAAAAGCCGAGGCTCCAGCTTTCAGGTGACCCGGGGCACCATCCTGGGCTGTGGTTTGTCAGTGCAGTGCCGTCCGTCTGGGGCTGCAGCAGGGCATCCAAAAAACAGAGTGGATGTTGCTCTCAGGGCAGCAGCGAATCCCCCCAGGGAAAGCATCTGAAGTCTGTGACACTCTCGTCCCCCCGGGCCCCCCACCTCCACCAGCCTCTCTCCAAAGAGCCCAGGTGATCTGACTCCCATGTCCTTCCTTGCCAGAGCTGTGAAGAGACCAGTGGGTTCTGGAGTCGCCTGGAATACCTGGGAGATGAATTGACGGGTCTGGTAATGACCAAGACAAAAGCTCAGCGTGGCCTCCTGGAACCGATCACTTATGTCAGGAAGCCCCAGTGCATCCAGGCGGAGATGGGTGAGGAGTGGGCCGGAAACGCTGGCTGGCCTAGGAGGGGGGACAGCGTGGCCCTGGAGTGAGAACGGCCTGGCATGGAGGCCCATAACCGCCGGAGGTCCAGCCCCCCCTGCAGTAAGACAGCGAAAGGAGGGGGAGGGGGGCGAGTGGGAGCGGGGGCTGTGGGGCTGCTCTGTCCACATGGCCGCCATGGCTCGTGGTCATCGAGCACCCAGAATGTGGCTAGCGTGGACTCAGGTGTGCTGTAAGTGTGAACTACACACTGGGTTTTGAAGATTGTACTAAAAAAGATACTTTTATTAATCATTTTTACATTGATTACATGTTGAAATGATACTATTTTTTATCTGTTGGGTTAAACTATATTACTAAAGTGAATTTCACCTGTTTCTTTTCACCTTTTCCAATGTGGCATCTAGGGAATTTTAAATGACATCCGTGGCTTGCATTTGTGGTTTGCATGCTATTTCTGTGCTGGGTTCAGGCCCCGGCTGTGTTGGGTTTGCGAACTCCAGCGAGTTACTTAAGCTCTCTGGTCCTCAGTTTCCCCATCTGTAAAGTACTGTGGGACGTGAGAGTGTTAAATGAGACAGGGTGTGTAGTGAGAGGTTGCAATTGTGATTATAATCCAAAGGTTTGCAGGGTTGCAAGCTGATCTTGCAAGAGTCCTGCATAGGGCTGCTGAGGCAGGAGGTACAGGGCGGGAGGACCGGAGTCCAGCCGCACAGGGAAGCTGTATTCTCCCCTTTCCCAGAAGTGGTGCTGGGGTGGGTGCTCACAGAGCCCTGGAGAGTGGGTGGGGAGAGGCCACTGCAGACGACTGTGCTGAGGGCCCCTGGACCCTACTGCTCCAGGACTGCTGGCCCAGAAGGAGGCTCCGTACCGCTACACCTGGGATCGGAGTCTGTTTCTGATCTACCGACGCACGGAGCTGCGGAAGGTCATGGCAGAGCTGGATTTTAGCCAGCAGGTCAGTATGCCTCTGTGCCCGGTCCAAAGCCCCTCGAGATGTGCCTGTCTTCAGTCAGCTAATCTTCCCTTTCTCGGTCTCTCTGAGGATATTGATGGCCTGGAGGTGGTGGGCAGAGGGCAGCCTTTCACGACTGTTAAGGTGGAAGACTATTCAGTATTTGGTAGGAGCCAGGAAAGCTCCTCTGAAGACATGGTGCCCTTGTGAGTCGGCCTGGGCCCTAGGGAGAGAGGTTGGAAAGAGTGGCTTCCCCCGGCACCCACAGTATGAAGGGCAGACTCCCCCTTCTGAAATCCAGGTGCCTCCATCCCAGCCTCTCTCTGGGCCCCTTCCAACACCTGCGCCAGCTCCCTTCCAGCAACCAGCCCCTAATGGGGATTTCCTGGCCATTCCTTTGCTGGTTAAGTGCCGTGCATGAAGAGTCTCTGTGAGTCCAAGAAATGCCCACCTGTAGGAACAGAGCAGGACGAAGTGAAGCCCGAGTGGAGCTGAGGGTACTTCATCAGAGGGCAGAGGCAGGCACCTCTCCAGACTTCCTGGCAGCCATTTCCCTGGGCTCCGTGGGGCAAGACTGTGGTAGCTTCAGGGAAAATAAGTCGTTGGTTTTTCTTACAGAGACTTGGCCAGTTACCCTGATGTGGTCCCCATGCCTATTCTTGGCCCTTCTCTGCTGTTCTGTGGGAAGCCAGCTTGCTGGATCAGAGGCAGTAACCCACAGGACAAGGTAAAACGCTTCCACCCTCACCCACCTGCTGGAAGGGCCTCCCTCCGGTGCAGTCCCAGGGTGACTGTGGCAGTCACAAGGAGCCTGGACAGTCACCTATTTGCATTTTTATCTGGTCATGCATTCAGCATATCTGAAAATGGTAACAGCAATGCTAACTTGCGCCAGAATAAAATCACAAGGCTGAAAAGAGACTGTCACAAGCCACCCAGTTTGTACCTAGCCCACAAGCATGTAAATAAGCAAACCTTCTCAAACAGGTATGGCTTCAAGAAAGTTCTAAAATATTCTTCAGGGGGCGCCTGGGTGGCTCATTCAGGGTTAAGTGTCCGACTCTTGATTTCAGTTCAGGTCATGATCTCAGGGTCATGAGATTGAGCCCCATGTCGGCCTCCATGCTGGGCGTGAAACCTGCTTAAGATTCTCTCTCTCCTGGGCACCTGGGTGGCTCAGTTGGTTAAGTGTCTGCCTTTGGCTCAGGTCATGATCCCAGGGTCCTAGGATGGAGCCCCACATTGGGGTCCCTGCACAGTGGGGCTTCTTCCTCTCCCTCTGCCCCTCCCCCCTGCCATGCTCTCTCTCTCTCTCTCCCTCCCTCCCCCCTTTTTCTCTCAAATAAATAAAGTCTTTAAAAACAAAAAAAACTAGGGGCGCCTGGGTGGCTCAGTCGTTAGGCATCTGCCTTTGGCTCAGGTCACGATCCCAGGGTCCTGGGATTGAGCCTCACATCGGGCTCCCTGCTCGGCCAGGAGCCTGCTTCTCCCTCTCCCACTCCCCCTGCTTCTGTTTCCTCTCTAGCTGTCTCTCTCTCTCTCTCTGTCAAATAAATAAAT